TTACCAGCAAAAAACAGCAGAAATCTCAAAATAAAACAGCAGGAGCCATTTACAAAGACAGTGCTGGTAATAAACAAGAAAAGACTGACTGGCATTATGTATGCTGCTGCCAGAAGAAAGAGAATCAAGACTACTTGTCAAATTCAATACAAGAAAATGCGATTGATCGGTGTACGACTAATGGTCAACTCAAATTAGCAAATTGATCAACAGTGACAATAGTGATGGGAGCTTGTGACAAATATCAAGAGATGCCAACAAATCATAATATGCCAATATGCAAAGGCAATGTTGGGGACAAGAAAGTGAAGGTTCTACGAGACACTGCGTGCAGTAGTGCAGCAGTGAGAACCACTTTAGTATCCAATGATCAGATGACAGGAAAGGTACGCTTGTGTGTGCTAACTGATGGGACAGTGAAAAAATTTCTCATGGCAAAAATAAAGGTGGATAGCAGACCTTGAGGCCATGTGTCTCAAGGAACCAATACATGACTTGATGATAGGAAACATACCAGGTAGTAGAAACTTTGAGGAACTAGAAAGAAAGACGATTGATGAAATATCTGCTGTCACCATCAGAGCTCAAGAAAAGAAGAGCAAACAAGACATCAAGCCCCTGCAAGTATCAAAAAGCGATATCCCAAATTTAGGTTTGCAGGAACTGAAGGAAGCACAGAAGAAAGACCCTTCACTGCAGAAACATTGGGATAATGCCCAGAAGGAAGTCAAGCACAAAACAAAGGGGAAAGATACTTATAGAATAGAGGGCCAGAAGGGAGTTCTATACTGAATCTATCAAGGCAGTTATACTGGGGAAATTAAATAGCTCATATAACCAACAGAATACCGGACTCAAGTGGTGAAGTTGGCTTATGAATCAATTGTGTGAGGACACCTAGGAACAAAGAAAACAACAGACAAAATCACCAGTAATTTCCATTGGTCAGGAGTAATTAAGAGATGTGAGTAGATTCTGCAGGTCATGTGACATCTGCCAAAGGACAATACTTAGAGGGAAGGTAGCCAAAGTGCCATTGGGGAAGATGCCTCTCATAGAAGAGCCATTCAGCAGAGTAGCTGTGGACTTGATCGGGCCACTAGCACCTGTGTCAGACAAGGGAAACTGGTATGTGCTAACAGTAGTTGACTATGCAACTCGTTATCCAGAAGCAATAGCTTTGCCAGTGATAGAGACAGAGAGAGTAGCAGAAGCCCTCCTGGAGTTATTTTACAGAGTAGGCTTTCCAAGAGAAATCCTGAGTGATAGAGGGACCCAGTTTACTTCAGAACTGATGCAGGAAGTGTGCAGACCCATCAGTACTCGGCAACTCTTTACCACCCCGTACAATCCTAAATGTAATGGGCTTTGCAAGAGAGTCAATGGAGTTTTATAAAGTATGCTAAAGAAGATGTGCCACGAGAGACCACATGACTGGGACAGGTACTTATAGACAGTATTATTTGCTTATCAAGAAGTCCCACAAGCCAGTACATGATTTTCACTCTTTCAGTTACTGTATGGAAGAACAGTACGAGGTCTGATGCAAATATTGAAAGAGCTATGGATGAGAGAAGAAGAGTCAGAAGTAAGGAACACATATCAGTATGTGTTAGACCTCAGAAACCGACTGGAGAAAACCTGCAACTTGTTCGACAGAGTTTGTATGCAGCTCAAGGTAGTCAGAAGCATTTTTATGACAAACTCACCTTGCAATGGAAGGGATCTTTTGAAGTACTCAACAGAATGGATTACAAGGTGAATGTGAACGGGAAGACCAAAATCTACCATAATAGTTGAAGAAGTATTTTGGGAGAGAAGAAGATCTAAAGGGTGCAGCTATTGAAACAGAGATGGATGTTGCAGGTGTGGCCATCATAGATGCAGAACCAGAAGACAGCGACTCTATCTTAGAAGATAAGAACCTACTAGACCTAAGGGCACGGGGTAGAGATGAGACGTACGAGGACATGAACATGAGTGTCAAGCTGACTGATAGGAAGAGGAACAAAAACTATTGTGTCAGCATAGAGGTAGATTAGGAAATACAGACAACACAGGTCAAGATGAAGATGAGGAATCCTGTTAAAGAGAAGCCCTACTGGAGACCCTATGTTAGGAGAGACAGATAAAGGAACTGTAAATGTTGAAGCAGACTTTGTATATAGTAAAACAAAATTGTGAATATTTTATCTTGAAGAGGGGTTTATGTCATAATGTAAAAGACTATTTAGTTTAAATATTAGTGATTAATTTATATTTGTGAGTGAATATTTTATTATTTTTAAGATTTGTTATAATAAGAGTTAAAAGCAGACGATTGTAGAAGGTTTTGTTAATAACTAATTGGTGTCAAGAATATAGAAAGTGGCCAGACGACAATGTAATAAAGATATAGATAGCGTGAGAAGAGCGGGAAGCAGCAGACTGACAACAACAGACAGATAATAGCAAAAGAGAATAAAACTGTGTGAATTTAAATACCGTAAAAGAGATAGGCCTAGCGACTGACATAGGCCTAACGTTTAATATGTTAGAGTAAAACTAACAGTATAAATAAAAATAAGAAGGATAATTTTATTCCGTCAAAGCTCAGATCTAAAGTATTTGAATCAGCCTGGGTACACTTTGACAAAAGGAACAGAGGATCTTCAGAAGAAAGAAGACCAAACGAATTATGGTAACTTGCAACACAACTGTAAGTGAATCACACACAGAATACTAGTACAATG